TTAAACAAAGTTAAAAGCAGCACTTTAGAGCCAAAGAGGTCATGCTGAGTTAATGTAAGTGCAGGCATGTTTCATTTTAGAAATCTCTGATATCTTTTAAAAGCTCATTAATGTGCCAATCTGGGCTGAAGGACAGTTATCACCAATATGGATGGCTTACTTCATAAAAGGCCACAAGTTGGTCTCTGAAAAAAAGTGCTACTTGTCTACTTTCAGACATCCTACTATCCTTACTATCAGAGAGTCCCTACATGGAGAGGATTTAAACATTCATAGCCATCATCTCAACAGCTATCTTCTGGAGGATATGCACAAGTCTTTGCCAAAAACAACCAGCATAAGTGATATACCATAGACTGTGGTTTTAAGGCATCTTAGTTCCTTCCTGGCACCTAAATCTGGCTCTTTAACTAGAATTTTCCCAAGAGAAATTAGAACTAAATTACTGTGCTTGAACCATACCAAAATAATCAGCCTAAATGACAAGATGTTGGGCTTCTGTCTGGGTAAGGAGTTGAAGAAGGAGCCAGCTGGGACACCTAGACTGGGATGATCTTCTCACAGGGGTACACCACTAACAGTGACTATGAGTCATCATTCAGGGAACAGGCTTCTGCTACCTACTGGCACCCATGGCCTCTCTCTGCACTTTGTGTTCAGAACTGAAAGGCTCTGACTCAACCTACTTCACGTTGCCTTATACGTCCCTACAGGAAATGTAATTCCCACCGCTCATTAGTGCTGCAAAGTTCTCAGCACTGGACAGAAGGTCCTACAGTGGAAATGTCTGTCTGTCTACCTAAATCTTTACACACACAATTTTAGGTAAATGCTCTACCACTGAGCCACATCTCCAGTCCTCACACACAATTTTAGAAAGTCTGCAATGCTTGGGTTAACTTTTTTTTTTTAAGTTTCCCCTATTAATTATCTACAAGGTCAGTTTAACCTTAAGTTAATGCTAAAACTAGATGTGGGGGTGTTGGAAGGAGAGCAGAGCAACACAAGAAGGAAATACTTAATGTGTAGATGTTCCTGAGAAAAATACAAACTATATTCTTCACTTAACAGAGGAAAATTTTAAAGCTACGTTTAAACAAAAATTTACACCATATTCACACGGCATAAACAAAGTCAACACAGGGATGAATGATCACACCTCACCTCCTCAGGAGGGGCACTGTTTTCTCGCTCCTGGTTACTACCGAACCTAACAGGGCTTAACTGGGGACAACCGTAGACTCAGCAAAGACACAGGATAGAAGACAGACAGAAAGTGGGGTCAGGTGTGTTGGATGCTCAGGTAGAGATGCCCAACCCTAATGCTTCTTTTCTCTTTCATTCTTTAAGGCCTTACTCCCTGCAGTTCTTTAAAACCTCTTTCCTGAGACTCGCACTGTCCCATGTTTTCTCTTAGCTTATCTTCAGCCTAATCGCTCTTAAAGTCTTTTGCCCCAGGCTTGCAGCTTTTCTTTAGCATTCTCTCTTTAGCTTTCTTAAAGCCTCAGTGCTCAGATTCCAAAGTCTCCGTCCCATGTTCTCTTTGGCTTTTCTTTAGCTTCTAAAGCCTATGTTAAAGTTCTTTCTTTGCTTAGCTTTCTCAGGCCTATGTTAAAGTTCTCAGTGCAGACTTTCTATCAACCCCCCTTTAGCCATTCTTTTCCCTTCAGCAATTTCTCTTTAGCAATTCTTTCCCCTTCAGTAATTCTTTTCCCTTCCAAAAGCCTCCCACATCCAAAGGCCCAAAGTAAAACCCGAAAAGCCAAAGCCCCTCTTCCTCCTTCAGGGGCCTTTTATGAACAGTGGCAAACAGGGTGGAGCAGAGGCTCTCGGGGAGGGATGTGACATTGTAACAGGAGAAACCTGCGTTCCTGCTTCTCTGAACACAAGCTTAGGAGACGTAGCTGTTCTGCTTTTTCTGTTTGTGGCCAGGGACTGGGCCTATCTTGGCCTACAGATGCTGAAAGCAATTAAGCTACTTCTTGCCTTGCTTATGTCCAATTCTCAGGCCTTCATAATCCGTTCTCCACATTCCTCAGTCTTCACTGACCACAGTGGGATGGGGGTGCCCCAGGATCTGTTTCTGGACATTGCCCAGTCAGGTGCATCCTTCAGCCAATTTCCAAACTGCTTTTCTTGCACAAACTCTGGGACCCTGCCACAAACAGATCACCAATCATGTAAGAACATTAGAAAGACATATTATAACCACATAACTTTTGTGTAATGCTTTGTGAAGTGAATGCTATGGAAACACTGAGCTTACTGCCAGGACATTATCTTCTGATATGAAGCAAGTTACTCAGCATGTAGTTCCTCACTAAACTGCCTCTGCTACGAGGCAGGCCTTCTTCCCTCTGCCATCCCTCCCACTGTCCTTATCCCTGAAGGTTCAGCTCCACAGAAATCCTTCCCAAGTGCCAGGCTAAATCAGGGTACTCTTCTACCCCCAGGCTCCCAGTTATCCACTTCTTTTGGCACCACACCTACCACCCTTCCTTATGCAGCCAGTTCTGATGTGCACAGCCTCTCCAGGCTATCTTCCTAACATTCTATTCTACGTGGTACCTTAAACTTGTGGGGAACTAAGGAGCTTGATAGCTTTAAAAATGCAAAAGCTGCCAGGCCAGTGGCTCACGCCTATGATCCCAGCTGCTCAGGAGGCAGAGATTAGGAAGATCAAAGTTAGAAGCTAGCATAGCAAATAGTTTGAGAGCCCCTGTCTCAAAACTAGGGCTGGTGGAGTGGCTCAAGGTGTAGGCCCTGAGCTCAAACCCCAGTACTGCACAAAAAAAAAAAAAGCAAAAGGAAATATTAGAAAGTTAGAGTTTATAAGCATAACCTTTACTGCCCTGAGGGTTTCCTGATTCTCTCAACATTGAATGCTGCGTCCTTGAGAGAAGCACAGAGCAAACTCTAAACTCTCAGTGAAAAACATTCTTCTGAAACACATATATTTGAGCCTTGCTTCATTTTGCACACACATTGAAAGAACCCTGCTTGGGCTATCCTAAGTCTGTGCTTTGGCTTCTCTATTAAGCCAAGGGCAGGAGCATAAACTACTCCAGGAACTGAAGCACCCAAAGTGCTTCAGTATAAATGGATGGACAGATACAGCCCAAAATGATGTTTATCTTGAAGATTATTATTTAAGGTTACTAGATTTGGAGCATAACCAGATTTTTTCCCAAACTCAATCAATCCTTTCACTTAGTTCTTTAACCTTCAGGCATTAATTTTTATGAGTAATATGCTGTAGAATCTAATCTGTATTTTTCCAATTAAAAAATTAAGTTGTATATTAAAAGTCATTCTATCCTGTAAATCATCTAAGTGGCAGCTGCTTATTTCCATTAGGTTTTAAATAAGACAAATGCTTCCTTACATGCTATGTCATAAGAAGATTATTACTAGCCAAGTTGCAGTGGCTCACGCCTGTAATCCCAGCTACTCAGGAGACAGAGATCAGGAGGATTGCAATTTGAAGCCAGCCCAGGCAAATAGTTCATAAGACCCTATCTTGAAAAAAACCACCACAAAACAGGGGTGGTGGAGTGGCTCAAGTGGTAAGAGTGCCTGCCTACCAAGAGTGAAGCCCTGAGTTCAAATCCGAATACCCACAAAAAAAAAGGCAATTACTTCTGTTGGGTAAGATTAAATGCTAGGTGTATTCCTTAACATACAGAAGAGACAGCTATTACAATAAACGTAAGAGATGGCTATTACTTTGGAGAGAGTATAAATTCCACTTACTAACTACCTGCAAAGGACAGTGTGAAGAAACACAGCTCATGCTCACCAGAAACAAAGGTCGCTGTTGTTCAGAACCTGGTCCACCACATGCTCCACATGCACAAACCAGCTGGGTACTGCTTTGTAAATGAGGGGGATCTGACATGGAGGCAGAAAGGCAGATACAGCTGCTCAGAAGGACACAAGCAGGTGCCCATGCAAGACTGGCTTTTATCAGCTAAACATTCGATCTACCATTTGATCCAGCAATACCACCCTGGGGATATACCCAAAAGACTGTGACACAGGTTACTCCAGAGGCACCTGCACACCCATGTTTTTGCTGCACTATTCACAATAGCCAAGTTATGGAAACAGCCAAGATGCCCCACCACTGACAATGGATTAAGAAAATGTGGTATCTATACACAATGGAATTTTATGCAGCCATGAAGAAGAACGAAATGTTATCATTCGCTGGTAAATGGATGGAATTGGAGAACATCATTCTGAGTGAGGTTAGCCTGGCCCAAAAGACCAAAAATCGTATGTTCTCCCTCATATGTGGACATTAGATCAAGGGCAAACACAACAAGGGATTGGACTATGAGCACATGATAAAAGCGAGAGCACACAAGGGAGGGGTGAGGATAGGTAAGACACCTAAAAAACTAGCTAGCATTTGTTGCCCTTAACGCAGAGAAACTAAAGCAGATACCTTAAAGCAACTGAGGCCAATAGGAAAAGGGGAACAGGAACTAGAGAAAAGGTAGATCAAAAAGAATTAACCTAGAAGGTAACACCCACGCACAGGAAATCAATGTGAGTCAATGCCCTGTATAGCTATCCTTATCTCAACCAGCAAAAACCCTTGTTCCTTCCTATTATTGCTTATACTCTCTCTACAACAAAATTAGAATAAGGGCAAAATAGTTTCTGCTGGGTATTGAGGTGGGGGAGAGGGAGGGGGGAGTGGTGGTAAGGGAGGGGGTGGGGGCAGGGGGGAGAAATGACCCAAGCCTTGTATGCACATATGAATAATAAAAAAAAAAAAAGACTGGCTTTTATCCTCTTAATAACATTACCACCATTACTACTCAGCCTACAAACATCTAAGTCTACAAAACTGTCCATATCTCTTCATGATATCCACAAAGTGGTAAAAGCCAATAAAGAACAAGACTACAAAGAAAAACACAGCTCGGTTGATGACAGTTTTCTGAGGTATAATGTGAACATCAGCACAGAGGAGGAAATGGGGGACTGAACTTCAGGGTGCTGAATGTTATATTTCCATCTGGGTATTTACACTCGATATACTAACTTCTCAATAAATTCCACTGTAAAATTTCAGAGATGATGCTCATCCTAAAAAAACGTGGCCACAGCACAAAACAGATTTCTGTATGTCTTTTTGTCGCACAACTCCTGAGGAAAGAGACAGCTTCACGCATTCATAAAACTCAAAATGTGGTAAGAGAGCAATTTCTGACACTAACTGTACAGGACAGCCAAGCGATGGACACCACAAACATGAAGGCATGGCACACACAAGTATATCCACAAACTTGAAGCTCCAGCTACAAAAGTCTCTCCTCTCTCCTCCAGCAGGAAGGGCAGCTGTGAGTGAAGGTACTGGCAAGAAGAAGTCGGCCCTGTTCCTCCAAGATCCTGATGAAATTTTTGTCAGCGTCCTGTTAAAAAAATGAAAAATTTAGTCATTAAAACATCCTGCGATACTTAGTAACAATGTAATTTCATTATTAAAATCTGACATTTTGTTTCGGATAGAAGACACAAATAACACATGTCATTTAAAAGTAATGTGTTGAGGCTGCTAGGGCCGTGACCCAGGAGGAGAGGACTGCCCAGCACGCCCAAGGCCCAGGGATCGATCCCCAGCTGCAGGTAAAAATATTGCTGCCCAAGGAAACCCAGAGTAAAAGCACAAAGATCCGTATTATAAAATGGTCACAGCAACTTTGTTTATCATAAAAAAACGGACAACTCTATAACGTGTATCAAAAGATCTGCCTTGTAATCCTAGCTACTCAGGAAGCAGAGATAGGGAGGATTAGTTCAGTTAGCATGACCCTATCTCAAAAACACCCAACACAAAACAGATCTGTCTGAGTGCCTCAAGTGTTAGACTGCCTGCTTGCAAGGGTGAGGCCCTGAGTTCAAACCCCAGAACCACCAAAACATAAAAATAACATTAAGAAAGAATGCATAAATTGTAGACCATTTGCTTTTTTATAAAAACACTGTATGGAAGGTGGTAAACAAACTCAAGGTTACCCACATCACATGGAGAATCTTTAAGACATATGTTCAACACACAAGGTAAGGTACAGAGGAGCAGTGATTTTAAAAACATGCAGAATGTAAATTCTGAGATACTTATGTAGATAATGACAGTATAAAAATAGGTGTGGAATGAACACCAAATTCAACATGGGGATAACTTTCAGGATGTGACACAGGCCACAAATAAGCAAATGAACATACGTAAAATACAGAGGGCAGAGACTACAAGTGATACGGCTCAAGGGCTAACTCAACCAAACTCTGAGCATGGCTCTTCCTTCTACACAACTACTTCTGCTCACGATTCCTAAAGGATCCCAGCTGTCCCCCTCGACAGAGACTCCTGACCTAGGCCTATGCCGCAAACCAGCATGAAATAGCCAAAGGGCCTCTAGTCCTTTAAGGGCGTTAGCAGCAGATAACGTGCAGTTAAGTGCTAGTGGTGGGCATATGCACAGAGAACCTAAAATGCATGAGTCTTCAGAGTCACCTAGAAAAAAACACTTAAAAGGCCTCTATTACGATCAAAGTAGCCCTCCAAGCTCATGGGATAATGCAAGATATTTTTGAGTAGAGAAAATACTACAAGACAAAGCCAGTTAAACCAGGCAGTAAGTACTAAGATATAAAAAGTGAGCTGGGCACCGGTGGCTTATGCCTAGCTACTCATGAGGCAGAGATCAGGAGGATCGCAGTTTGAAGCCAGCCCAGGCAAATAGTTCTGAAGACCGTATCTTGAAAAAAACCCAATACAATCAGGGCTGGCATAGTGGCTCAAATGGTAGAGCACCTGCTTAAAAAACATGAGGCTCTGAGTTCAAACTCTAGTCCCACCAAAAATAACCAAAAATCATATTGCAAAAGGCACATCAGAAATTCATTGGGGAGAAGCCTACAAAAATAATCTAAAAGAAGAAATATTACAGGTAATCAATGAGAATTTTATAGAGATGATACTGGATATGGTCAACCAAAATGTACAGGAGACACTCAAGAAATTCCAAAGCAACAAAAATAGAGAATTTGAAAAAGCACAAGGAGAAATAAAAGAAACCATAGAAGCACTGTATAAACACCAAAGTGAAACAAAGAACACGATTAATAAAGAGATAAACAAACTCAGGACAAAAATAGAGAACATTAAAGAGGAAAACAGCCAGGATATGGAAAACCTCAGAAAAAAGAACGAAACAGAACTGCAAAACAAAACGGAAGGCCAATCCAGCAGAATAGAACAAACAGAAGACAGAATGTCAGAACTCGAAGAAATGGTAATTAAAGGAAAAACCGAAGAACTATTAATTAAACAACTCAAGACCTGTGAAAAGAAAATGCAAGAACTCACTGACTCCATCAAAAGACCAAACTTGAGAATCATGGGCATCGAAAAAGGAGAAGAGGTGCATGCAAAGGGAATGCGCAATATATTCAACAAAATATAACAGAAAATTTCCCAAATCTAGAGAAATCTTTGCCCATACAGATGCAAGAGGCCTCCAGAACACCAAACAGACCAGATCAAAATAACTACCCACGACATATTATCATTAAAATAACAAATACAGAGACCCGAGAAAGAATACTGAAGGCTGTAAGAGAGAAAAAACAAATAACATGCAAAGGTAAACCCATCAAAATCACAGCAGACTTCTCAACAGAAATATTAAAAGCAAGAAGAGCTTGGGGTGAGAAATTCCAGGCACTGAATGAAAATAACTTCCAACCCCAGCAAAACTATCATTCAAAATAGATGGAGCAATAAAAGTCTTCCATGATAAGCAGAAACAAAAACAATATGTGACCACAAAGCCACCACTACAAAAGATTCTCCAAGGGCTTCTGCACACAGAAAGTGAAACCCAACATAACCAAAAAACACAGGCAGCACCAAACTGCAGGAAAAGAAAAAGCAAGAAAGTAGAGAGTAACCTCAACTTAGGTACACACAAGCAAACCTTCAAATAACTAAATGACAGGAATCACCACATAGCTATCAGTACAAACACTTAATGTTAACGGACTTAATTCACCCATCAAAAGGCACCATTTGAAGAACTGGATTAAAAAGGAAGGAAGATCCAACAATTTGCTGCTTACAGGAGACCCATCTCACCGACAGAAATAAGCATAGGCTTACGATGAAAGGCTGGAAGAAGATTTACTAAGCCATTGGCCCCTAAAACAGGCAGGAGTGGCAATACTTATCTCTGACAAAGTAGACTTCAAACCTACATTGATCAAACGAGATAAAGAAGGACATTCCATACTAATAAAAGGGGAAATAGACCAAAAGGAAATAACAATTATCAACCTATATGCACCCAATGTCAATGCACCCAATTTCATCAAACATACCCTGAAGGACCTAAAAGCATATTAACTCCAACACAGTGGTTGTGGGAGACTTTAACACCACATTATCATCAATAGATAGGTCATCCAAACAAAAAATCAATAAAGAAATCCAAGATCTAAAATATACAATAGATCAAATGGACCTACTTGATGTCTACAGAACATTTCATCCAACCTCTACACAATATACATTCTTCTCAGCAGCCCATGGAACCTTCTCCAAAATAGATCATATCCTAGGGCACAAAGCAAGCCTCAGCAAATTAAAGAAAATAGAAATTATACCATGCATTCTATCTGATCACAATGCATAAAACTAGAACTCAACAACAAAAGTAAAGACAAAAAACATGCAAACAGCTGGAAACTGAATAACTCATTGCTTAATGAACAATGGCATTGATGAAATAAAAGAGGAAATTAAAAAGTTCCTGGAAGTCAATGAAAATGAAAACACAACCTACCGGAACCTATGGGACACAGCTAAGGCAGTCCTGAGAGGAAAGTTTATAGCCATGAGTGCATATATTAAAAAGACTGAAAGATCCCAAATCAATGACCTAATGATACATCTCAAACTCCTAGAAAAACAAGAACAAGCAAATCCCAAAACAAATAGAAGGAGAGAAATAATAAAAATAAGAGCTGAAATCAATGAAATAGAAAAAAAAAACATACAAAGAATTAATGAAACAAAAAGTTGGTTCTTTGAAAAAATAAACAAGATCGACAGACCCCTGGCAAACCTGACTAAAATGAGGAGAAAAAACCCAAATTAGTAGAATCAGGAATGCAAAAGGGGAGATAACAACAAACACCATGGAAGTCCAGGAAATCATCAGAGACTACTTCGAGAACCTATATTCAAATAAATTGGAAAATCTTAAAGAAATGGACAGATTTCTAGATACATATGATCATCCAAAACTGAACCAAGAGGAATTAATCACCTGAATAGACCTATAACACAAAATGAAATTGAAGCAGCAATCAAGAGTCTCCCCAAAAAGAAAAGTCCAGGACCTGATGGATTCTCTGCTGAATTCTATCAGACCTTTAAAGAAGAACTGATACCAACCCTCCTTAAACTGTTCCACGAAATAGAAAGGGAAGGAAAACTGCCAAACACATTTTATGAAGCCAGTATTACACTTATCCCAAAACCAGGCAAAGACACCTCCAAAAAGGAGAACTATAGGCCAATCTCCTTAATGAACATTGACGCAAAAATCCTCAACAAAATAATGGCAAACCGAATTCAACAACACATCAAAAAGATATTCACCACGACCAAGTAGGCTTCATCCCAGGGATGCAGGGGTGGTTCAACATACGAAAATCAATAAACGTAATAAACCACATTAACAGAAGCAAAGACAAAAACCACTTGATCATCTCAATAGATGCAGAAAAAGCCTTTGATAAGATCCAACACCATTTCATGATAAAAGCTCTAAGAAAACTAGGAATAGAAGGAAAGTTCAACATTATAAAAGCTATATATGAAAACCTACAGCCAGCATTATACTTAATGGAGAAAAACTGAAACCATTCCCTCTAAAATCAGGAACCAGACAAGGATGCCCACTATCTCCACTCCTATTCAACATAGTACTGGAATTCCTAGCCAGAGCAATTAGGCAAGAAGAAGGAATAAAAGGAATACAAATAGGTAAAGAAACTGTCAAAATATCCCTATTTGCAGATGACATGATCCTATACCTTAAAGACCCAAAAAACTCTACTCAGAAGCTTCTAGACATCATCAATAGCTATAGCAAGGTAGCAGGATATAAAATCAACATAGAAAAATCATTAGCATTTCTATACACTAACAATGACAAACTGAAGAATGTATGAAAACAATTCCATTTACAATAGCCTCAAAAAAAATCAAATACCTAGGTGTAAACCTAACAAAAGATGTGAAGACCTCTACAAGGAAAACTATACACTTCTGAAGAAAGAGATTGAGGAAGACTATAGAAAGTGGAGAGATCTCCCATGCTCATGGATTGGTAGAATCAACATAGTAAAAATGTCGATACTCCCAAAAGTAATCTACATGTTTAATGCAATTCCCATCAAAATTCCAATGACATTCATTAAAGAGATTGAAAAATCTACTTAAATTTATATGGAAACACAAGAGGCCACGAATAGCCAAGGCAATACTCAGTCAAAAGAACAATGCAGGAGGTATCACAATACCTGACTTCAAACTATATTACAAAGCAATAACAATAAAAACAGCATGGTACTGACACAAAAACAGACATGAAGACCAGTGGAACAGAATAGAGGACCCACATATGAAGCCACAAAACTATAACCAACTTGTCTTTGACAAAGGAGCTAAAAATATACAATGGAGAAAAAGCAGCCTCTTCAAAAAAACTGCTGGGAAAACTGGTTAGCAGTCTGCAAAAAAACTGAAACTAGATCCATGTATATCACCCTATACCAATATTAACTCAAAATGGATCAAGGATCTTAATATCAGACCCAAACTCTAAAGTTGATACAGGAAAGAGTAGGAAATACTCTGGAGTTAGTAGGTATAGGTAAGAACTTTCTCAATGAAACCCCAGCAGCACAGCAACTAAGAGATAGCATAGATAAATGGGACTCATAAAAAAAAAGCTTCTGTTCACAAAAGAAATGGTCTCTAAACTGAAAAGAACACCCACAGAGTGGGAGAAAATATTTGCCAGCTACACATCAGACAAAGGACTGATAACCAGAATATATAGGGAACTTAAAAAACTAAATTCTCCCAAAATTAATGAACCAATAAAAAAATGGGCAAGTGAACTAAACAGAACTTTCTCAAAAGAAGAAATTCAAATGGCCAAAAACACATGAAAAAATGCTCACCATCTCTAGCAATAAAGGAAATGCAAATCAAAACCACACTAAGATTCCACCTCACCCCTGTTAGAATAGCCATCATCAGCAACACCACCAACAACAGGTGTTGGAGAGGATGCGGGGAAAAAGGAACCCCCTTACACTGTTGGTGGGAATGTAAACTAGTACAACCACTTTGCAAAAAAATTTGGAGGCTATTTAAAAGGCTAAACATTGATCTACCATATGATCTAGCAATACCACTCTTAGGGATATACCCAAAAGACTGTGACACAGGTTACTCCAGAGGCACCTGCACACCCATGTTTATTGCGGCACTATTCACAACAGCCAAGATATGGAAACAGGCAAGATGCCCCACTACTGATGAATGGAATAAGAAAATGTGGTATTTATACACAAGGGAATTTTATGCAGCCATGAAGAAGAATGAAATGTTATCATTTGCTGGTAAATAGATGGAATTGGAGAACATCATTCTGAGTGAGGTTAGCCTGGCCCAAAAGACCAAAAATCGTATGTTCTCCATCATATGTGGACATTAGATCAAGGGCAAACACAACAAGGGGATTGGACTATGAGCACATGATAAAAGCGAGAGCACACAAGGGAGGGGTGAGGATAGGTAAGACACCTAAAAAACTAGCTAGCATTTGTTGCCCTTAGCGCAGAGAAACTAAAGCAGATACCTTAAAGCAACTGAGGCCAATAGGAAAAGGGGACTAGGCACTAGAGGTTACATGAAAAAGAATTAACCTAGAAGGTCACACACATGTACAGGAAATCAATGTGAGTCAATGCCCTGTATAGCTATCCTTATCTCAACTAGCAAAAACCCTTGTTCCTTCCTATTATTGCTGATACTCTCTCATCAACAAAATTAGAGATAAAGGCAAAATAGTTTCTGCCAGGTAGCAAGGTGGGGGGGTGGGGATAATGAGGGGAAAGGGGGAGAAGTGACCCAAACATTGTATGCACATACGAATAAAAATAAATAAATAAAGAGAAAAAAAAAGAAATCCATTGGGGGGACTATCCCTTGCCTTTGTCTTAACAGAGCCTTTGTGCAGCACTACATAATGACTGATGCCTGGGGCTGACATTGCACATCAGAAATACCAGAGAATTTTACCTGGGTCACAACCATTCGACCTCCAGCCTCAGTGCTAAAAGACAGCTCAGCATTTCACATACCTTGTAATTCTGGTGTGATTTGAAGTTAGAAAAGGGAGTGCTTCACGTGGTGGAGAAAGGCATGGCTTTCACACCTCTGTAAACAAGGCCTTTATCACAGTTGTTAAAGACCCACCTAGGAAGTGAAGAGATGAAATTTTACAATGATATAAACAAAAACCATTTGTTCAAACACAAACATTCATGCCAATTTCTATTTAGAGTTTTTGTCTAGAGAAGTAGAAAATAAAGTGCTATCTAAGGATGTATCTAAATGTGGACATTAAAAACATCGGTGCTGGGCACCGGGGCTCAGGCCTGCCATCCTCACTCCATGGCCTTAAATAAAGCTAAAAAAAAAACTTGGTATTTTAAAACAAAATTCTCACTGGGTGTGGTGGTGCATGCACACCTGCCTGTAATCTCAGCACTTGAGAGGTTGGGGCAGAAGGATCACAACTACAAGGCCAGTCTGGATTACATAGGGAGACACCGTCTCAAAATTAAAAAAATCCCCAAGTTTAAACTCAATTTTAAATGATATCTTTTACCCTAAGGGCACTCATCGGAGTAAAGAAAGAGAATGGATTTGATGTAAGACCAGCGTTTAAGCATAAGAGCCAAGGGATGGGAAGGGGGAGGTGGCCCAAATAATGTATACACATGTAATTGTAAAAAGGATAAAATAAATTTTTTTTTTAAAAAAGGGCCATAAAGTTAGCTATGTGATCTCAAACAAGCTGCACTTGCCTTTCTCTCAAGCAGAATCTAAATCCAATCCAGGACCAACCCATAGTACTCTCTAGACCACACAGGAAAATTCACATGGAAATACTTGATAACACCCAAAACTGTCACCACTATTAATGCTGTAATTATCATAAAGATATCGCCTGCTACTTCTACATCCCATTGGTCTATGTGCCTTACTGTATGTCTCATGTTCCCTGGGGACAAGAGGCATTGTAATATCAAGAGGCTGTGTGTGTGTGCATGTGTGTTGTGTATATGTGTGTTGTGTGTGTGTGTTGTGTGTGCATGTATCTGTGTGTTGTGTGTGTGCATGTTGTGTATGTCTGTGTATGTGTGTATGTTGTGTGTGCCTGTGTGTTGTGTATGTCTGTGCCTGTGTGTATGTTGTGTATGTGTGTGCACATGTGCAGTGCATGTCTGTGTTGTATGTCTGTGTATGTGTGTGCATGTGCTGTGTATGTGTATGTCTGTGCATGTGTGTGCATGTGCTGTGTATGTGTGTGCATGTGCTGTGTATGTGTATGTCTGTGTATGTGTGCATGTGTGTTGTGTATGTCTGTGTATGTGCGTATGTGTTGTGTATGTCTGTGTATGTTTGTGCATGGATGTGCACATGTGTGTGTGCACATGCTGCTGGGGAGGCAGCACAGGGCCCTAGGCAGGCATTGTACCACTGAGCTACACCCCCCAATTCTTGGTTTTTGGAGGCAGGGTCTTGCTATGTAGCTTAGACTGGCCTCAGATTCTTAATTCTCCACCACACCTGGTTCCAAGAGTCTTTATAAATTTTTCCTCCTGATCCAAGCCTATTTTATACAAATCAAGGAGTAGGATTTACAACCATATTGATAGACATGATAGGCGCTAACCACATCTACATGCAATTTTTTTTTCTTTTTTTTTTTTTTGGTGGTACTGGGATTTGAACTCTGGGGTTCTTACTTGCAAGGCAGGCACTCTACTGCTTGAACCATGCCCCCAGCCATGGAATTTTTAATTTTTAAAAATTTAGACATTTAAATTCATTCAACTAAAAAATTCAGTTTCTCGCACTAACCACATTTAGGTGCTCAAATCTAATCTAAAGCCCTAATCTAGTGCTTCTTTTTGATACGCTTAACAAAAAACCTGCAATTTAAAAATAAAAAATTATTCACTTTCACAATACTAGAGATCAAACCCAGGGCCTTGCACATGATAGGTGTTCTACCACTAAGCTGTATCACACAGGCTGGTCTTGAACTCCTAGGCTCAAGTGATCAGCCTCCCAAGTAACTGGCACTATAAGTGTGTGCAACTAGGCCTGGCAAAACAAGATCTTTACATGCTCTAATTGTGGGAATTCCACCTGCTCGGTGAATAGGGATCCCCCTCTCCCTATTCTCTGGCAGAGTCTCAGATGCCAGAGAATCTGACTGGCTTCCCACTCTGGGATAAATGGGCCTGGAAATAGATCCCAAGGAGCATGTCAGAGTTGGAAGGTCTGAAGAACCTTCCCAGGGTATCCAGTTCATCAAAGGACTTACGTCAAGCATTTGCAACAGATGCTAAGAGAAATGTGAGAAGGTATATAAGAAGGAAGTAAGAGCCACAAGCAGCTACAAGGCAATGTAAAGGAGTTAATGTGACAAAACAGCGTTGCAGCCAGGCATATTGGCACACCCCTGACCTTGGGTCACAGAGGCAGGAGGGTTATGAGTTTGAGGCCAGACTGGGCTACCTGAGACCTTGTCTCACAAAACTAGCTCAGTGGTAGAGTGCCTGCCTAGAATTTGGAAGGCCTTGGATTCAATCTCCAGTGCAAAAAGAAAGCCAAATCACAAACAAACAAAAAGCAGCTTTGCAACTTATCTGTACTTGTACACATAATTTAATAAAAGTAGGACTTCCTTAAGGCAGAATTATATACCTTAGGCATTTTGCAATCATACTGACACTGCCTGTGTCCAGCAATGGTTCTTAGACTACTGCACGAGGTCCAACATAAACACCTATCAACATAGGCCCTGCTGCCACCGTCTTAGGACGGTAAAAACCAATTTCACTTGGAACCATTATGGAACAGTAAGACTTCCCTACATAGCTTCTTTCAGCATTAAATTCAAGCACACTATCTCTTCTGCTTCAACCCTTAGAATAAAACCACTTCTGAAGGGCTGGAAGCACGGCTCGAGTGGTAGAGTACCTTTCTAGCAAGTTCAAACCCCAGCATTTCCAAAAAAAATTTTTTTTTAAAACTTCTGAAAACCAGTTTTTCCTAAGTTTGGCACAAACATAGCAAATGTTGACAAAAAAAATTTTCACAGAAAAACTTTTAGTTGGCATTTGGACATTTATATTCTTCATTCTACTGAATGACATAGAAATACTGCAATTCAGCCTTCTGGGGCTCTTATGCACGACAGAATATAAGCATGCCCTACTGTATTTTAAATCCAAAATCTTCTGAATTCAAAAACAGCTTCCCAAATCAAGTAACTGATTCATTCTAGCACCCCTCTCTACTGACCAATGCAACAGAATAGTCATCATATTTACAAATGTAAAGAAACTACCAGACAGATTCCATGTATTGTGGATAGTTTTGTAGTCATTGTCCAAGTCAACCCACCGGCCAAGTCTTGTCCCAGTAGACTTTAAAAGCCTGAGTATTAAAGCAGTATCAGAAAATGATGTCTATTGTTGCATGCCATGTTTACTTTATCACTGCATGCATTCTTCAGAAGTAGAACAATCAGCGGTTCAAGTCAATCTCGACTTCAAACAACACACTAGGCAAGATTAAAAACCAGTCTTCTTGGCATTCATCTTATACACAGATACTGTTATTTACAAGTATAAATATTCACGTATGAAAGTCTACAAAACCACCATTTGACAAACACCAGAGAAATAACCTTTGCTATGAAGAATCATCAATGATGTTAAAATTACTGAAAGTACCATACGAATATTTGCAAAGAATATGCCTATGAGATATTTATTAATTACAAAGGAGAAACTACAACTTTACAAAAGAAAAACCTGACAGGTAACACATTAATGAAGCAAAGTTATCATTAATGAGACGCCCAACAACACATGCCTCGGAACAGGATCCACTGAGAAGGGCATGACATCACTTTTGAGATACTCTTACCCAAAGTGCATATCCTAAACTATAAAATAACATGTCTGCATTCTTTAAGTGACAAGGTGGCAGACGGGTGTGGCTCAGTGGTTGAGCACACACGAGGCCCTGGATTCAATCCCCAGCACACACACACACACACACACACACACACACAGCGAGTTCAGAAAAGACAAGGAAAGATTTTTTTTTTCTGTGCTCCATAAGGAAAGAAACCATGTAGAAGGGGGTCCTTCTACACAGATTTCTTGGAACAGAAATAAAAACAAGTGGGACAAACTGGTGAAATTCAGGTAAGATCTGCAATATGTTATCAAGATTAACTTACTGCTTTTGCAATTAAGTGATATCACTGAAGATGTGAGCAATAGGAAAAGGTAGATGAAAGGTGTAGGGAAGTGTTCCAAACCATGCTTGCAATTTTTTAATGTTTAAGAAACTATTTCAAAATGAAAGTTAAAACTTTTTTTTTCAGTTATTTATTTTATATATTTTTATTTTATTTTTTATTGTTTTATTATTCATATGTGCATACAAGGCTTGGGTCATTTCTCCCCCCTGCCCCCACCCCCTCCCTTACCCCCCACCCCACCTCCTCCCTCTCCCCCCACCCCCTTGCTACGGGGCAGAAACTATTTTGCCCTTATCTCTAATTTTGTTGTAGAGAGAGTATAAGCCATAATAGGAAGGGACAAGGGTTTTTGCTGGTTGAGATAAGGATAGCTATTCAGGGGGTTGACTCACATTAATCTCCTGTGCATGTGTCTTACCTTCTAGATTAATTCTTTTTGATCTAACATTTTCTGTAATTCCTGGGCCCCTTCTCCTATTGGCCTCAGTTGCTTTTAAGGTATCTGCTTTAAAAACTTTTTTTTTCAAAAGGAGAAAAAAGAAAAGGCCTATATTCAGCTTACACTCATACTCATCGTGATTTTCTCCACTAGTGACCAAGTCAGAAAGTTATGTTGGGAGAGAAATGAGCTCTGACTTTCACGCTAGTGAAATCAGACCTGATGTGCCAATGGAGTGAAGCCACTCAAGGTTTATGGACACAAAAGCATGAGGAACAGTGTCAAGAGAGAGTGGCAGCCTGAGCGGAAGAAGGAAGAAGCTGATGAGGAGACTTTACAGAAGATGAGGGTGTGTGACAGCCTAGAGAACGGCTGCACCATGAAGAAAGACTCACTAGGATTGGTGCCTGGTGTGATCACAGTGAGTAATGTTTAAAGACCAGGGAATGATCCATCGGCAGATTAGGGAATTCTAAACAACAGCCAAGTTGAGAGGCTTAAGGTAAAGGCAGACATGCTTTTGTTGGACAGACACACCAAGCTAATCTAGGTGGCAGAAAAATACGAGGACAGGAAGCTGCAGCTGTGCAGCTCTATTACTTAGCAGCGGGCAACAGAGGAGTCCAATTAACATAACAAAAAGAGGTCAACTTGAATTTGTGAAACTATGAGTTGTTACACTGGACTGTTCAAGTAACTCTATTTGCTAAGAGCAGTGTGACTCTCATATACACTGTGGGCAGGCAGGACAGTAAGTGTGGAAGACCAACGAAGCATAAAGAAATTAGGAAAAAAGCGGGTCTAGTTTAGGCCGACAGGGTTGGAGGTAGAAACTGTACACACAGGAGGAGGGTCAGCCCCTCTGTGTCACAACCTCACGTGGACAACCATACTTTTGAGAACACCTCATACCAAGAACAAAGGAGCCCAAACCATTTCACTTCCCACTTAAAACCTAAACATACCTTCCACTCACTAGAGTATCTCATTACAACTGTTATACTCTGCAGTCCCAATTTTGGGCACATCCCCGGGTCCTCTTGATTCCCAGTGTTATCAATTTTATATTCCTGAATATCTGTGGTAAGATCATTAACATCCCTGCCTTATGAAACAGATACAACTAAGCAACACTAGAATAACACAGCCTTTGAAAAACACTAGTTCTCAGAAAATCTACCGAGAAAATGAACTATAAATAATAGTACGGAAATGAAGTAAAGAAAGTCTGACAGAGTTAAAATCCGTCATATGTTAACATACTACATGATGAAATGTAATGCTTATAAAACTATCAGGACACCAGAAGGCTGGAGACTCAAGCATACCACAGGTCAGCTGTGGCAATCCCATCCAAATCTGTCAACGTGAAACCCCCTCTGGTGAGCATATCTTTAATTGTCCCTGCAAGTTTATGTCCACAGTGAGGCAGTCCAGTTGCAAAAGGAGGCCCATCATGAAAAGTAAATCTAACAGAAGTAATAAAAAAATTAAAGTCATTTAAAAATATATAGCAAAAAAATTAGGATAACATTTTTCTGTAAGTAGCTCCTATCACAGTTACGTGTTTAAGGGAAGCGAAGCAGGAAGAACAGGAAATTCAGACATAATTAATTAGTATTTACTGGAGGTCCTGCCCTCAGGAAGACTACCACTTGTGACAGCTCTGGAGACTGCCATTCTACTAACCATTTTTAATTTGTTATTTCCGTGACATAAAACAAGTTATTAATCCTAACCCTGAGTATCTCATTAGTAAAACATGGCAGTAGACATTGATCTCATAAAAGTTTTTGAGCAGAGAAGACATAATAAAAACAGTGATTAAAGGATTAGGTTTTAGGGGAAGGGAGAGTAGAGGCAGGAAGTCGTGTGGAAGACATCTATGGAGTCTTACACTTAGGTTTCAGTGCTAAGGGAGAAGTGGAGCTGATAGAGGTGGGAAAGAAGGTGGTATAGAAACTCCATGCAGATGACCTCTTCAAACTGCCCACGTAACTAAAAACCCACACATTCAATGTTTATCTGCTTCCAAATATCCATTATATAGAAAGCTGGGAGACTCTGGGAACGTGCTGATGAATAAAGGGTTCCTGCTTTAATGAAACTAGTCTACAAAACAACTACTCTAAAAATTCTACCTTCACCAAACAAATTCACATACTTGGGCCTATGTTTTGATTGCTTTAAACGTTCCCGAAAACAATTAAATTTGGACCAGAACTGCAAGATTTTCTCTTCTTCAGCAGGAACACTGATGTCTTCTGGAACTTGCTGAACCATTCTGTTGCTGTAAGAGAAATCAAATTTATTTGTCACAGAGAAATCTAGAATTGCAGTGTAGTACATTAAAATGGGTGCACGCATCACTACCCATACCAAATGCATTAAAATTAAAGCCTTTACAGGGTTAAATTCACATCTCGCAAAGTGTACCCTCTGAAAGTGTGCAGTTCAGTGGTTTTTAGTATATTCACAAAATTATGCAGCCATCCCCACTATCTCATTTCAGAACATTTTTAATCCCTCCCACCCCAACCTTTAGCAATCACATCCTCTCCTCCTTTAACCCCTGGCAATCACGAATCTTCTTTCTGACTCTGTAGAGATTTGCCTATTCTGGACACTTCCTATAAATGGTAAGATTTATATGAACCATCTGTACGTGGCCTATTGCTTCCAGCTTCATTTCCTTAGCATGTTTTCATCCATGCAGTAACATTATTCATACCTCTTTACTTTCTATAGCTGAATCACATCCCATTGTTTGGAAATGCCACATTTTGCTTATTCGGTCCCTAGGCACTGGGATGGTTTCCACTTTTTGGCTCCTATGATGAACGCGCCATGAACACTCAGGTACAGTGTCACGTGGACAAACGTCTTCACTTCTCTTGGGTGTCTAACTAGGTGGAATTTCTGGGTCATATGTTACTCTGTATGGACAGGGATGCCAAACTCTCCATATCCTCCACAACACTCCTTATTGTCCACCTTTGACTACAGCCACTTGAACTTTTTTGACCGGGCTGGCCTCAAATCTCAGTCTTCCAGATCTTTGCCTCCCAAGTAGCTAGGATTACAGGCATGAGCCACTGTGCCTGGTTCTCTTCCCCCTCTAATCTCTCTAATCTGCTCTTATGGTGTCCCTTGTCTATGGGAGCTCATTAGAGATGAAGACTCACTATCCCCAGCCAGGACCCTGGAGTCAGAACCTGTGTTTACCAAGACCCCTAGATTAGCATTAAGATCAAAGTTTGAGCATTACCACTCTCATACGGTTCTTGATGATTATTTACAGCATCTATCTGAAGCTTTTTTTCTTTCTTGAGAAAACAAGATCTAAGCTTTCTAAGAAGACGGAGCATAGCTTTCTGCAACTGAATTTTCTAGGGTGTCTCTGCTGTTCTAAAAGATTAAGAATCCCAGAACAATGTCAAATACAGAGACTGTTTCAGGAAGAACCATGTACCAATGACCGGGCTATGGCAGCTGCTGAGGAGAAACAGCTGCCATGCATAAATCACAGGATTACTCTAGCCCATTGTATCCACTGGACAGCCATACCTGACCAACAGCCTCCAGCAACCACAGGGCGAGGGAGGGGGAGGTGAACCTTGCCAGGTCATGGCCACGGATGCCTCCTCCTTTTCTTCCCTCTTACTACAATCCAGGCCTTCTACCCTTCCCTGTTCCACAACTCCCTGGGCCACCTTTGCCTCAACTTTCTGCTCAGAAGTTTCTAGACTACATTCCTGAACCACCACTTGAGTATCTCAACCTACCTCGAAAAAGCATACTGAAACATTCTGTTTTAAAAAATCTCAGGCTTGCTCCTTCCTCCCTTTCTTCCTCCTCCCTCCCTCCCTTCCTCCCTCCTTCTTTCCTTCCTGCAATGCGCTGTTATTCCCAAAGACATGTCACTATCCTTTAGAGAAGCTCCCTTTCATTATTTAGGCTGGCACATGAAAGCATTAATTCCTAAAGACACATAACGGAAAACAATTTAAAGATAACTGAAGTAAACTATGCAGCCAGTAAGAATAATAAACTGGTGAATATATAAAATATAGTTGCCCTGGGCTAGGGTTGGAGGTCACTGATGACTAGCATGAAGTCTAGCATGTGCAAAACCCTAGGTTGCCAAAAACCAGCAATGCCAAAAACTAAAACAAACAAACAAAAAAACCCTCAGAACAGGTGCTGGTGGCTCATACCCTTAATCTCAGTTCCAGCCCAGCCCAGGAAAACTGTTAGAAAGACCCTGTCTCAAAAATACCCAACGCACAAAGGGCTGGTGGAGTGGCTCAAGTGAGAGTGCCTGCCTAGCAAGCATGAAGTCCTGAGTTCAAAACCCAGTACCACCAGAACACAAAGACGAACCCCTCAGCATTCACAAGAAGATTAGTTCCAGCACCTCTTAGAACGTACACGCATCCTCTCCTACGTGTTTAAGTCATCTCCAATTACTTACAATACCAATACATGCTAACGCTGTGTTGTTTAAGGAAACAGTCTGTTGCACGTTCGGTACAGACGTAGTCACAGCACAGCATCCCAGGTGCAGACAGAGAGAGAGACCGGGTGTGTGTGCACTGAAAAGGAAGAGCGAATCCCAGATGTATGAATTTACATGTGCCGCACCACTTGTCAGGAGTTTCTACTGATTTCGCTGCCTCACTGGAAAAGGAAGCCTCAAGTCCGAGAGGCTGGAAGCGCAGCGCACCTCCCACCTGATTCCCCACACCCACATTCAGCTGCAATCACCGCGACGCCTCATCTCCTGGGCAGCCTGATGGCGCTTGCAAATCCTGCACTGCTGCAGCTACGGTCACTGCCCATCTTCAAGGCCCGAGCCCCACGGCAGCTCCTGACAAGCTTCCCCTCCTCTCACCGGCAAACCCCTACCGCAACGCCGGCTTTCTGCTGTGCTCCCGGTGAGCCGTGCGCCGGGCCACGGCGTCGTCACACTGAACGAGGAGGACCCGGAGGCCACCACAGCCCCCGTGGGCCCCCCGGTCACGGCGATCAATGCGCGTTCACGGGACGCAGGGACAGGAAGGGGGCGCTCGGGGCTCAGACTCAGACCCCGAATACTCCGCTCGTCCACCGTCTGGATTTCTAATTCTCCCACACGCGATGCTCAAGACCACCGTGGTCCCCGGGCGCAGCTGAGGGCCTCCGCGCATCACCGCCCTCGCCCAGCGAGTCAGGGCAGGCTCCGTGCTCGGCTGCGCTGTGCAGCGCTGCCCCAGCCCTCCCGTCCTCCTCTTCGCCGATAGACACGCACGCAGAAGCAGATGGGCCTGCGGTAAGGCCCGAAGGAGCTTCTCTTTACAACGCAAACGCGTGTCCTACCGCCTCGGGGTTGTCACGAGGGCGTGACCCGAGCTTCTGCGGGCATTAGCTGGGCATGGGGGACCGCGAGCAGGACCGGACTTACCGCACAACGCCGAGAGCCAGCCAGCCAGCCGGCCAGGAGAGTCGGGCTCCACGCGGCGGCGCGGGGCACCCGGAGATGACGCAACGCGGGCGGGGAGGGGGGGGGTGGGACGAGAAGCCCGCTGGCCAATCAGCGCGCGCAGTCAAACACCCACGAACGATCCAGGTAGCGATTGGCTGCATGGGTTCCGGCCACGCCCACCATGGAACGCCGGCCCTCGGTGCCTGCGGGGAGCCTGGCTCCGGGAAGGAAAGGGAAGGCTGGAACCAGGACGCGATGGCGGGGCGGGAGCAGTGGACACTGTGTCCTGGCTTGTTGTAGCCCCTGCGGGGGTCGGTCTTTTGCCCAAGTTCCCGGCCCCTGGGCTGGTGGGCAGAGACTTAGGTTTTTATCTTGTTTCCGTGAGTCAGTATTCCTCTAAGCGACATTGCAGATCTGTGCATTCCACTGCACGTAAATCACATCTAAAATTAATGTCTTCTCCGGGCGCCCGTGGCTCACGCCTGTAATCCTAGCTACTCAGGAGACAGAGATCAGGAGGATCGAGGTTTGAAGCCAGCCTGGGCAAGTAGTTCACGAGACCCTATCTTGAAAAAAACCCATCACAAAAAAGGACTGGTGGAATGACCCAAGGTGTAGACCCTGAGTTCAAACCCTAGTACCACCAAAAAAAAAAAAAAAAAAAAAAAGACTGTCAGCCCTGGGGTTTGAACTCAGGGCCTCACACTGATTAGGCAGGTACTCGGTACTCTACCATTTGATCCATTCTGCCAGCCCTATTTTGTGTTGAGTATTTCTGAGACAGGGTCTCGAACCTCAGTCTTCTTGATCTCTGCCTCCCTATTAGCTAGGATTACAGGCGTGAGCATCTGGTGCCTGGCTAAGGCTATGTTCTTTGACCTGTAGAATACAGAAGTGACTGAACCCGTTTCTGGGCCCAGACCTTAGGAGATGGGCAGCATCCACTTCCTGCCTCTGGGAACACTTAGTTTTGGATTCTAGCTGCCGTGCTTTTAGGAAGCCAATGGATAAACCTTGATTAGGTGGCCATCTAAGAACTAGATCCTTAATCCCCAGATGAACCAGCCCAATGACACCACACGGAGCAGAGATGAGTGTTAGGACCCAGTCCGTGAGGCTAGTGTGCTGGGTGTGAAAGATTTCACAGAAAAGCAGGAATTGAAGCAGAAGCAGTGTTTTATTCGCTGAGACTAAGAGGTGTCACCCCTAGAATGAGGTTAGGGCTGGAGTTTATAAGCATTTAAGATGTAGGAGGAGCTGGGTGCCAGTGACTCACGTGTATAATCCTACTTTCTCAGGAGGCAGAGATCAGGAGGATCACTGTTCGAAGCCAGCCTGGCCAAATAGTTCTTGAAACCCTATTGTGAAACCACCCCCCCCAAAGTCTAGAAGAAATGTACTGCTGATGTCTTTACTTTCTTGGTTCAGCTACCTGTTCCGGGAAGCAGCTGGGGTGCTCAGTTTTTCAGTGTTCTGCCAGGGTGGTTGTTTGTTAGCTTGTACATTCTTTTCTATGACATCATGAGGTCAGATCTGTTGTCAACAAGATGAAAGTAGGGTTCTGACAGAGTTCAGAAAAACAGAAAACAAAATAGCTTTCTTGCCAGACAAAATGGAGTCCTTTACAAAATAGAGTAGGTTAGGCTAATTGGGGTCTTACATTTCTCCCTTCAGACTTTGGGGGGCCAATTCTTTGGAGGGAAGGAACTTACCTAGAGTGACCCCTACTCTAGAGGAGTTGAGAGAGGAAGGTCCTTCTTCTGTAATGTTTCCTGCTGAGTACAGCCTTAGAGTTGTCTCTGAGAGGTTAGGGGGTCACTCTGAGGTAAGGACCACAATTGAACAGTTTGAAAGGCCAGGTTGATTTTAGGAGTAAGTAAGCTCTTTATTAATTAGATCATACAGGGTTTTTTTTTTTTTTGGAAAAAAGTGATTAAGAAATGGATAATACAGGGTTCGAAAATGAGAAGACACACAATGGCAGCCAAAAAGTCCCAGAAAGAAAAGTTAGCCAAGAAAACCAGGGTCAGATGTTTAGCTTCCAATTAAACAAATTCCATCCATAGTGGAGGCCTTTTTCTTTGAATTCATTGGTCCATTTTAAAAGCATATTTAAGTTAGGTTGTACAGGAGGATGGTGGAGTGGTTCAAGTGGTAAAGCACCTGCCTAGCAAGTATGAACCCCTGAGTTCAAACCCCAGTACCACCAAAAAGAAGTTAGTTTGTACAATTCCAGACTGATTTACATAAAAGTAGCATTCCTCTTTTAGCATGGCTCACGTGCCTCCCTATGCAGCAGTTAGGTGATCAAGAATGCTTCTGTTTTGGAGGATATCCCCTGCTAGAGAGTCTAATTGAAACTATATCCTCCTAGTTTCTTCAATTATTCCTGTCATTTATAAAGCTATTTCTTCAGATAAATGTTTAGGAGACAGGGAACAGTATAGACACCAATCCCCAGAGGTATGAGGGAGGCCAAGACTATAAGGTGGTGATGGGTTCTCTTTTTGTTCTTCCAGGCAGATCATAGGCAGGGAGGGGAACTGGAGAGATGGATTATGATGGCTGGCATGACAGATACGAGTGTGCAGATGCCCACCCACTGGGGCATGCAAAAGAAAGGCTAAAGATCCATGAAGAAAATATAAACCTACCTATTAAAGACCTTAAGGGGGTCTTTAATATTTGTCCGAGTACATAGCAGATAGACCAAGGCCTGCAAGGGGGTTGAGGCATGCTGACTGGGATGGGAGATTGATGGTACCATTAAATTTGTATTCCCAAGTTAAAAGTAGGCAATAGGGGCTGGTGGAGTGGCTTGAGCAGTAGAGCACCTGCCTAGCAAGTATAAGGCCCTGAGTTCAAAGCCCTGTACCATCAAAGAAAAGTTGATGATAGAGGTTATATCCCCATGCATCAGGTGGGGAGGACTGATTAAGAGAAGGGGGTTCTGTTATACTAAAACAAATCCTTGCTAAAACTTGTAAAAAAAAAAAAAAGAAGAGAAAAAAGAACCTTTATATTTATAACAGGAAGCACTGTGCATGTTTTGATTAGGTAGATACCAAAAATTGGGGTAATTTAATGGGCAGTGAGTTAAATCAGGTGGAGGGCACACTGGTTTCTGTGTAAGACTGCTGTTGGAAGGTTGGAGGCAAAGTCCAATGACCCAGTTTAGGCAAGCTCCCAGCTACTGGAGAGTTGGAAGTGTGATTTGTAGCCTGTTCCTCTGACAAAAGAATGTAGATAAAGGCTTTGATTACAGTCTTGAGTACTGACTGATTCCACCACTGAAAGGTCTCAGTTATAAGCTTGTACAGAAAAGGAGGAATGAGGTGGGATCTGCCATGAAATAAGGTTAGCCTTTACACAAATAAGGCCTGGGTTTGTAATTGGCCATCTTGAAAGATGGGGCCCTGATATACATAGCAGTTAGAGGGAGTGAATCCAAAGGTGTTTATGTAACCATCTGGATAGGAATGTGTAGAAATTCATCCCCAGGAGCGTGGGCCTAATTGAGCGTGCACAGTCAGAGAGAGATCTGACCACACTGTGGGAGGTGCAGCAAAAGCGGTGAACCCTGACTGAGTAATGTGTGTGCAAAGCCAGAATTCCATGTAAACAGAGGTATCGGTAGCTTGAAGTAGTGTTACAGTATGGTTTATAATTATGGAGTAAGGATGAAGAGGAGTGAGAATAGAAAGAGTTGGAGCAATTTTAATTCCTAGGAGTGGTCTGATTGTAGGTAAGGCCAATGTTGTGAACCGTACTGTAGGCAATGACCCCGAGAGATGTGGCTGTTAACAGTGTTGTTTATGTAACAAAGTAGACAGGCTGGAGGTGTGACCCAAGTGTTAAGAGCGCCTGCCTGTCAAGGACAAAACCCTGAGCCCAAACCCCAGAACAAAAAGAAAAACACCTTTGGAAAATAAAGCGGAGGATCAGTGATAGAAAATGAGTTCCTTGTAGTGGTGTAGGAAAAGTTGAAAAAATGGATAGGAAATTTCTGGGTGAAGAGGACCTTAAGTTCTGAAAGTCAGAGAAGCCCTCTTGTAGAAAGAGGTCTAGCACAAGTCTCACCATCGGGCATCTGATAAGGTTTCAAGGGAATAGCAGGAGAGTTCAAGGTAAAAGGTTTCTACACATCATTCCTGTTCTGGGACTCTCTACACACTGCAAGAAGGGGAATGACAAAGAGCGAAATGCAGCCCAGGTATGGTTTTTCACACCTGTAATCTCCACACTTTGGAGGCTAAGGGAATTGCATGTCAGGTTCAAGGCCAGCCTGAACCATGTAGCCAGACCATCCCTCTCAAACAACTAAGAAATCAAAGACAGCTCACCCAAGCCTGAGTAACACAATGGAATCCAGAGAAAATCACCAGTGCATACAGAGATACAAGCATCCACTCACACAGAGATGGTTCATGTTCACTTGGATAGAAAGACTGGATGCTGTTGAGGTATGATTGCTCCCCAATTGTTCTATCAATTCATTACAACCCCAACAAAATCCCACCAATCTAAATTGTAGATACTGAAACCTGTTTAAAATTTATAGGGACATAGAAAAGACCAAGAAGAGTCAAAATAGTATTGCAGAAGACAAAGTTGGGGAGGTCTAACAGTATCTGACTTCCAGATGACTATAAACAGCAGTAGCTAAGACAATGTGACAGTGGAATAAGAACAGACAACAAACATATCAATGGAAAAAATAGAGAGCACAGGAACATAACTGCAGATATACAGCAAAGACAATATGATGGAGGGGGTAGAAATATATTTGTAGAAATAGTGTCTGATGTTTTACCAAATTTCCTGGAAATCGCTGATCCATAGATTCAATGACTGCTCCTAGTAAAACTAGAGTAAATGTATCCATTCCTAAGTGTATCTCACTCAAAGCGTGGAATGACGAAGAAAGATTTAAAAAACAACAGATGAAAACACCTTTTCATTTACAAGGGGACAGCAGTAAGATCAATGGCTGTACTCCAATCAGAACAAGAGAAGCATGACTGTGAAGCGGCACAAAGAGAA